TTTTCTTGAGGTGCTTCTGACTTACCTACCCTTTAAATTAGACATAAAGGGGAGTTTATTGATTGACATTACTGAAAAATCCATGATTCATACATGACTATGAAAAACTGAATTACACACTGGACAGTAGACAGACCTTATATAAAAATAAGACTCTGATCCACACCTACAGCAGTCAACACTGTGAACCGACCCATCGCCTGCAATAAGCAGCCTAGGGAGTCAGCCTGCCATAAATCAGACTAGTGGGAGACCAGGTTGCTATCTCTACTACTAATCCAGTAACCATGAGGACTTGATAAATCACGTGAAATTTAGGACCGACCACAGAAGGCCAAATGTGCACCTCTAACCGTTTCAATTAGCCCATCTATAGTTTTTCCTTTTCAGCATCCTCCAGTCAGAGGATACCTAAGATTTCTCTTCCTTCCAATATAAAACTGTCTTACTTCATTGCCTGGGTTTGGGGTTCTGCCAAAACTCAAGTGATGGTGACTGACTTCCTTGCTATAGCAAATCCAAGTAATCAGCCTTTGCCTGCTCTTATTTGACTGCCTTAAATTTATTTCCACAGCTGGATTCAGGGACACAGAACTGTCACTAATCTCCCTTTTTGTTCTCTTCCTATTTTTCCATCTCTCTGGTCAACTTTCTTGTAATTTATTTTCTTTCATAAGACCAAGCTGCCCACAAATAAGCTAGTATCAAGGCTAATCTCACCCTACAGATACAAATCACAGATAAACACTATTTATCTAAAGCCAGACACAAAACATGTCCAGGGTGATCACAGCCTCATCTTAGCACACAGGTCCATTCCTGAACCAGTAGTTTCCAGGCAGGTGATTTGTTACTGGGGTTCATAAGATTATTTCTCTGTTGGATTACTATAGAAAATGAAATGCCTGGTTTCATTTGAATTTTAGGTAAGCAACAGACACTTTTGATAAATGTAAGCATGACTTTGGGGCACCTGGATGTCTCAGTTGGTTTGAGCTTCTGACTTTGGCTCAGGTCGTGATCTGGCATTCATGGGTTCGAGCCTGCTTTGGATTCTGTGTCTCCATCTCTGCCCCTCCCCTGCTCATGCTCTGTCTCTCAAAAAATAAAATAATTTTTTAACTTTTTTTTGTTTGTTTCTGACAGAGAGACAGTGTGAGCAAAGAGGGTCAGAGAGACAGAGAGACACAGAATCTGAAACTGGCTCCATGCTCTGAGCTAGCTGTCAGCACAGAGCCCGATGTGGGGCTCGAACCCACAAGCCATGAAATTATGACCTGAGCCTAAGTCAGCTGCCCAACCGACTAAGCCACACAGGCGCCCCTGAAAAAATAAAATAATACATTAAAAATTTCTTTAAATGCAAGCATGACTCATGAAATAACTATGAAAAATAATTTTTGTTTACCTCAAATTCAAATAATATGGGTCATTCTGTATATATTACAGCAACTCTATTCATACGGCAAGGAAGACAAAGCTGTCATTAACTCATATACCAGACTATGAAGTTGTTCAGGGACAAATCCAGAAAGGAAAGGTGCTAACCTAAAGAACAGTAATATACCATTATTTTTTTTAAACAAGAGGAAGAGAAATTCAGTTTTGAAATTTGAAAGAATAAGCCTGGTTGCTATGCTCAGAGAAACTAGAGGAAGTAAGGGAGAATATAGAATATTAATGGGAGACTATTGAAACAGATAAGGTAAAATGTTAGGTGGTTTTACCTGGAATGATGTCATAGAGATGAAGAAAAATATATTAGCAAGTGGGATAGTAGAATTAATAGCAATTTGTAATTGTTACTTATTAATTAAAATGAGTACATTTAGTAAGATTACAATTAAACTGTTAGAATTTAAGGGAACTTAGCAAATATACTGGATGCAAGGTCACTGTGCAAATTCAATTTTATTTTTAAAAAGCAACTATAAACAAGTAAAAAATGTAGTTTAAACATGTGGCATGTAGAGTCACATCATAATCACAACATTACAAAAATAAATCAACTAACATTTAGGTAAGACTTCTTCATAGAAATATATAAGGCTTTTGGGAGTAGATAGAAAATGCCTAACTAAAATGCAGACACACATCCTATTTGTTGATTAGTGGCATTAATATTATAAAGTTGATACCTGCCCCCTCCAGAAATTATGATACAGCTCCAATCAAAATTTAAGCATATGTTTTTGTGAAAATGTACAGGTTGGTTCTTAAAAATATATGGAAATACAAGAGCCAAATATAGCAAAGGCAATCTTGAAAAAGTACACGGTGGTTAAATGTACTCTGCTGGATTTTAATACATGTATTAAAATTAAAGTAGTTCAGAGAATTGGTATTGACACAAGAATAAACAAATAGGTCGATGAAACAGAATAGAGTCTTGAAATGAAACTGAGTACATATGGCTGTATTATTTAAAATGAGCTAGCCTTGCAGAATCGTTAAGATTATTCTTTTGAATAAAATGTTCTGGCTCAGTATGTTCAATAAAGGATTGACTATCCATATGAAAAACATGAAAAAATTAACGTTTGATTCACCACAAAATCAAAAACAGTAAGCTGGGGGCGCCTGGGTGGCTCAGTTGGTTAAGCGTCCGACTTCAGCTCAGGTCATGATCTCATAGTCCGTGGGTTCAAGCCCCATGTCAGGCTCTGTGCTCACAGCTCAGAGACTGGAGCCTGCCTCAGATTCTCTGTCTCCCCTCTCTCTGCCCCGCCCCTGCTCACTCTTTGTCTCTCAAAATAAAATAAAGACATAAAAAATGTTTTTAAAAAAACAGTAAGCTGGTCTGTAGAATTATATGTGAAACCAAAAAGATATAAAATGTGCGGATTATAATATATGAAGATACACTAATTACATTCATGTTAAGATATTTACTTAAATAGGACACAAAAAATATACCAAACATGACATAGTTGTTTGACCTATTAAAATTTAAAAAAATTAAAGTCAAGAGATACCATTAACATGATGAAAAGATAAGTTACAGAATGAGAGAAGATATTTGCAACACATATAACAAGGTTGTGTCTTATTTTTTTTTTTAATTTTTAAAATATTTTCTTAATGTTTATTTTTGAGAGAGACAGAGTGTGAGTGGGGGAGGAGCAGAGGCAGAGGGAGTCACAGAATCCAAAGCAGGCTCCAGGCTCTTAGCTGTCAGCACACAGCCCAACATGGGGCTTGAACCCATGAACTGTGAGATCATGACCTGAACTGAAGTCAGATATTTAACTGACTGAGCCACCCATGTTCTCCAAATGCTAACATATTTTTAAAAGAATCCCTATATGAAAGAATTCATACATAAAAGGCAGAGAACAAACAGAAAAACAACAGACGTTAAGCAATCACTCTGCAAAGATGATATCCTGGTGGCCAATAAAAATATAAAAAGATAACTATTCTCTTTTGTTGTCAGTGAAAAACAATTTAATCACACTGAGATACTGACCAAAATAGATACAGTTTTATAAAGTTAACAATCTTAAATTTTGGCAGGGATTTGCAGTAACTGGCATTCACAAACACTGCTGGTGGGAGTATACATTGGTACAAATGTAATTGGTACAAAGAAAAGAAATGTTTATTGTTGCTTACTAGAATTTAAAATGTAAATTTATTATGACTCATCAATTTTACTCTTATTTATAACCAGCAGAAATCCTTGTAAAGTTTCAATAAAAGACATTTGCAAACATATTTAGGGAAGTGTTATTTATATTACTGCAAAATGTGAAATAACTAAAATGTTCATCATATGGAAACTGACATTAAATTTTATATATTCATTTCATATATATGTGTATATGTATATGCATCCACACACATTACATATGTGTGTGTGTATATATATATATATATATATATTATACTATGTTTACTAGGTTTATATATATCATTTTAGGCAATGAAAAAGAAGAAAGTGCTCCAACACACACACACACACACACATGCACACACACACACGTGCATGTCATAACTAAAAAGTGAAACAAACCATACCCACAAACATATTTATATAATTCATTTACATATAATTTAAAAACAGACTAGATTAAGCTATAATGATAGAATTCAGGATAGCGAGAAATAAGGACCAAGGAAAGTTCCAGTTTTTACATCTTATTCCAGTGATTTGTTGTTACATAGCAAACATGGTGGCTCCAACATGCCCCTTATTTTTTTCATAAATTTTGTGTCGGGAGTTCAGAATTGACTTGACTACGTGGTTCAGCTCTGACTGACACGGCCTCAGCAGGGTTGGCCAGGGCTGGAAGATTTACTTTTCAAATGATTCCTTGACTCATTTTCATTGGGCCCATCTCCACTCCCATTGTCTCATTCTCCAGGGTTTCATTACATGGCTTTGACTTATCATAATATGCATGTATCAGAATAGTCTAATGTTTTACATGGCAGCTGGCTTCCGAGAATAAGTCTTCCAAAAGCTAAAAACTATAAGCTGCAGCTCTCTTAAGGCCTCATACTGAAGCTGACATCAGCTTTATTTCTGCCATGTAATATTGGCCAAAGTAATGATAGAGACCTCCCAAACTAAAAGAAAATAGGCATTCAAAGGAAGAAGAAGGAAAGTGTATTCCTTTGCATCTGCTATAGGCAGCAATTGGAAAGAAGCTTAAAAGATGTTTTTGAAATGCAATTAGTATATCATTTCTTTGTTGGAGTAATAGTTATATAAGTTTGTTCAGTTTGTTTTAAATCATCAAGCTATAAGCTTAAATTATGTGTTACATATATATGCTGTATTAAGTTTTAAAAGTTTGAAAAAAGATCAGGTGCTAGATGAAGTTATTTATAATGATAAAATATTAGACGGAAAACTTGTTCAGGATTTTAAAATACTAATTTTAAGGGTGATGTAATAAAAGAGATTCAGTTATTAAAGTGAATATTTGAACATTAATGAATATTTGATGCCTCCAATATCATAGGCATTTTTTTAATACTTCGATATTTTAAAGATACAGGAGCAAGAGAGAAAAGCATACAGAGAAAGACAGAAGAAACACAGAGAATGGATTATAAAAATAACACAAAATCTGGAAAACATGGAATCCAGGATCAAAGAGGAGATGAGAATTCATCCCTGAATATCAGGTATAGTGCCAAGTTCAACGAATTGTATCTATTTCTTCTATAAGAAGAAAAAGTTTAAGGTAATCACTTCTATAGGAAAAAGTTTAAGATAATCACTAAAATCCAAAATTTGGTGCAATATATAATTGTACAGATTTTAGAAGCTCAGTGACCCGCAAAAGGGGCAAATTTGAAGAATTAAATATAGGGACATCAGAGACAAACTCTTGAAAAAAAAAAAAGGTAAATAGAAAATCTTGAAATCAATCAGAAAAAAATATATGACATTATACCAGGGGACTAATCTTCCAATGACTGCACCTGTTAATCAAAAACTATGTAGCCTAGTGCAGCCTTCTTGGGATTTTCTCTCTCTCCCTCTCTGCCTCTTCCTCACTTATGCACACACGCTCCCTCTCATGCTCTCTCTCAAAATAAAAATAAATAAACTTAAAAAAATCTGCATAGCCTAGAAGACTGAAGAACTATCTTTAGCACTGAAAGAAAAATGACAAAAAACCTCATTGCAGAATTCTATATCCAGTAAAAGATCCTTCAGTAATGAAAATGAAATAAATATATTTTCCCATAAAGTTAATCTAAGATTATTTTTGTTAACCATACCTAAACTTATAGGGAAGGATATTTTTCACTGTAAATGGAAATAATTACAAGGTAAACTCAGATTTTTAAAAATGAATGAACAGCATATCAAAGATAAATTGCCAGGTACATATGAAAAGAGTAGAATTTCTCATATTAGTTTTCTTTAAAACTAATAGCTACTAAATCAAAAATTATAACATTATCTTTATTATATTATACAGGTTTATAATACTGTAGATTTAATACATATGCTAACTCTAATACAAAACGACCTTGAAGAGTAGAAATATATCTGTGTAACTGAAATTTTCTGTTTTCTGTGCAGCAGTACGTTACCTCTCAGTTGACCATAAAATTTAGAGATGCATGCCATGCCATCTAGAGCATGACAAAAACATGGAAGAATACATAACTAAAAACAGTGGATATATTAAAACAGAATTCTAAGAAATTCAGAAAATTTAAAAAGATACGTAAGGAGAAACAGAAGAAGAAAAGCTAGAGAGGATAAATAGAAAACAAATAATGCAAAGATAGGCCTGTATCTAACGATAGCAATAGCGGAATTAAATGTTAAGGGACTAAATAATCCCATTAGGTTTTTGTTGAAGTCAGTTAGATTCAATGGACTTTTTTTTCCCTATTATTTTTTTTCTTTCTTTCAATAAATCACAATGTAAATAATAAATGTATTTTATTTCATATGAATGGAAAAATAATACAGTAATTTATTTACTCTGTTTTATTTCTTAAACAGTTGTTTATAGAGAATTATGTGGTAGGCACTACGGCAAAATGACAGCAGTGACAACCACAGCTCCTTTAAAGCTAATCAGTGTTTTTGGCAAAATGGTAGCACTTTTCTCCCCAAATTCAAAATCAGTTGCGGGGTACTCAAACAGCTCAGGTGATTTACATTTTTGTTAGTCAAAATATAGTAAATAAATAATGCATGTTTTTTACAAAATACTATATGGATGGTAACAGAGGTTGGTATAGAATCACAAGAATCTGAGACTAACTTTCCTGCAGTTAGCATGAAATAGTTGCAAAGATAAGCCTGTTGCAGACGTACAGCAATTCCATCCATTCAACTAATTTGGAGAAAACCTCTTATTTTAATTTCTTCTCAAATTTTGTTCTTTTATTTAACACTTGGGTCTTCGATATTACTAATGTAAACACTTAACTCTAATCTGTACTGATTTTTTTATAATTTGCTTCTCCTCTCTAAATGCTTAGTCAACATCATCATTGTTGGAAATAAACTAGCCCTTAGAATTCTTATTCAAACTTTGAATCAGTAATTATCATCTTTAGGTAAAATACATGGTCTTTCAGATTCCTTTGTTTGATGCTTTTGGAATCCTTTATGGTGTAAAATATAAGCATATTTTAAAGAAAATTTTAATTTGATGTTTTCAGTGTTACCTTCTTAAAAATGAAAGGGGAGGAAAACAAGTGAAAAAATAGTTTATAGAGATTTTACTTTGTATGGCAGTTACATATATTGCCTCAATATTTACCCTAATACTTGACATAATGTATTAGAGAAATACAAATTATATTTTTAAAAGACTGATCATCCTACTAACCAGAAGGTAGGACTTCTTTTACTTTATTGTGAGTACAGCCCTATAAAATACCATATCAATGATATAAGAGATGCTAAGAACTACAACGGTTATGATGATCTGTCTTTATATACATATATATAATATTATTTATTTATTTTTGAGAGAGAGAAGGAAAGAGGGAGAGAGAGAGATGGGTGTAGGGCAGAGACAGGGAGACAAAGAATCCCAAGTAGCCTCTGAATTGTCAGCACAGAGCCTAATGTGGAGTTGGATCTCATAAATGGTGAGATAATGACCTGAGCTGAAATCAAGAGTGAGATGCTTAGCCTACTAAGCCACCAAGGTGCCTCTCCCCCTATATTTTTAATACCTCAGTAATCTATATGGTGACTTCCTTGATTTATGTTGCCATTGTTTTGTTATGTAGGTAGAGTGGGAGCATCAATTATCAAAGTGTTTATTAAGAAATCAGTGCATTCATTTATTTTGATCTAACAGTGTCTGAAATGTGAGTTTATGGTCTGCTGATGGTGCTCCAAAGCACTTTTCAGATTGTTCAGCTCTAGTTTTCTCCTCTTATCATCATAATGTTGCAGCTTCAGATGTTCTTCAAGGATCCTTTCAGCGAAGATCTCAATTCATTGCTATTCCTCCAACTTAGTATAAAAAAAGTCAGCAGACAGACTATATACTTTACTCTGGTTTCCAGCACACTTTTTAACAAAATTTCATTGACACTTACATGTAATAGCAACAAAGTTATTAGAAAAGATTGTACATTGAGACAATGAACTCAAACTGAATTTCTTCTTATTTCTACTAAGTTGGGCTGTGATTGGCCCAACAAAGAGAGAGAGAGAGAGAGAGAGAGAGAGTGGGCTCATCTGATGTGGGACTTGAGTTCACCAACCGTGAGATTATAAACTGAGCAGAAGTCAGGTGCTTAACAACTGAGTCACCGAGGCACACTCTCATATCATTTTTAAAAAGGATGACTTAATTTTATTTTATGACAATTAGAGACATTTACAGGAAATAACCTAAGTTATGCTGTGTAGATGAAATAAGCTAGAGTTAGTTTTGCTTGACTGGTTTAAATAGTTTTTGTCTACTCAGGGATTCTCAAGTCTGATGTACATTTTTTTATTTGATTTTAACCCTATCAACAGTAGAGTAGATTAAAACAATAATTGAGGTTTATCCATACAATTAAGCATGATTCTGAAATATAAAAGAGCATCATAGATGAATCTCAACAACATAATATTACTTGATTAAAGCCAGACAGAAAAGAGAACATATTGAGATTACTATGTCTATGAAGTGTTCAAAATAAGATGGTAATTAGTAAAGAGTCAATGATAGATTAGGGCCAAGTCATTTTACATAGAGTGAGTAGAGATAGGTTCACAGGTGTTTAATTTTATAAAAATTATTTGAGCTGTGTACCTAATATGTTCTTAATGTTCTACAAACATTATATAAATAAACTATATAAACATTATTATAAATAAAAAGAACCTTTGAATACATGATATTAAATAAGATACAAATCTTAAAAAAGGAAAGTGAGACATTCTGTTGTATAGAAAAGGCATACAATTTTAGTTAATAGTAAAAAAATATTGCTAAGAAGTAAAATCAGCAGAAAGTGGTCAGTTTAGCTGACTTACTATAATTATGTTATAATGAGGAAATGTGCGAATTAAACACATAGACAATAAAAAGACCACATGCATAATTTAATACATTATACATTTAGGGAAGAATAGGGAGAAACATACATTTTTATTTTCTCATTCATCACTTCAAGTACAAATACTTGTTTAATAGCCTCCTATATTATTGCAAGCAATCTATATGCTAGAGATACAACAACTATTGAAAATGGTTTTATTCTATTGCTCAGACCCTGGCTATACCTTAGTCATATCTTACGGATATCGCTTCTGCCCCACTGCCTATTTTCTTAATCTGCATCCTCTGGGATATCGTGATGTTGGGTAAGGAAACATTTTTATAATACTCATACTTTTGGGTTTCTTCTCCGATTGAAGGCTTGTTTTTTCCTCTGATGAAAAACGTTTTCTCCTCCCCTATATGGGCACTACTTCTCAATACTCCCTTGAGAGAAAAAGTATTTCTAACATTTCTAAAATGCCCTTGCAATAAACTAAGAATATTTGGATCTAGGTGCAGAATCTCTAATGAAATCACACCTCAGGCAAGCATGAGGGCCTTTCACAGCATCCATCCATATCCCCATCAGTGTACATTTATTTTCTAAATCCATAGACCCTGGATATCCACCTATTTCTTCAGTATTCCAAGCTATTGACTCCCCACTCAGTCCTCTATAAGTAAGTGGTCGCACCTCTAGAAGTGGTCGAATCCTTCAAAGTAAAGATAAGAGTGGGGAGAATCTTCTGAGTTAAAGGCTACCTAGATTACTCTGATTTCCAAAAACAGTATTGACAGAGGGATCATTCATGTTTTCCCAACTCTACATTTCTAACATTTAAAGGGTCACTTATGAAGAATGATGCATGAGAACCCGAAGTAAGAAAACCTGGCCACACAAATACATGATGGATTATGTAACATTACATTGACTAAAACTTTCCCATGCAGGAGAAGCAAGAAAGAAAATTTCCCAGAGCCCCCATGTTCTGTCAACCCTTTTAAGAATGTAGGTCTTATTCTTCACCTATGAATGGCAGTTTTTTATGTGGAAAACTCCACCCAAACTTTCCTTCACTCCTTCTCTAAAGGTGCAACTAAGTATGCCTTATGTAGTCATTGCTCAAGTACAGTTCTTTTCTATTTGCATGAAGTTTTTCTCTTTGTAATTTTATTACCCTAAATGAGGATTGATGTACCGTTACCGAGACAATGAGGAGTGAAATGTGACAGTCTTGACCCAGACTCTAATTATCAGATATAAACAACACTGAGATCTTGCTACCCCACTCTTCTATAGTTAAAATAATTCATACCTCCTCATGCCTTTGCCTCTATATTCTCTTCACAATCCCCTCCCCTCACACAGCCCCTAATCTCTACTCCCTGCCTTATCTTTTTCTGTCTTGTTGATCTGCACCGATGTCTACAAATCTTTCTACTTCTACTAAGCAAACGTGATCCCTTTCCATCCCCCTATTGCCTGTATTCATCACAAATAGTTCTCTTTCACCTATAGTAATTTTCTATCATATTCTATGTCTTTGTCCTTACCTAATGATTATTATTTTATTATTTTTAATATTTCTGGTTTTATTTAAATTTTAGTTAGTGGGGTATGTGGGTGGCTCAGTTGGTTAAGCATCCAGCTCTTGATCTTAGCTCAGGTTGTGATCTCATAAGCCTATGAGTTTGAGCCTGTCATCGGGCTCTGCATTGTCATTCAGGAGCCTGCTTTGGATTCTCTTTCTCTCTCTCTCTCTGTCCCTTCCCGGCTCATGCGTTCTCTCCCTCTCTCTTTCTCTCTCAGAATAAATACACTTAAAAATAAAAAAAAAATAGATATTAGTTAACATACATGGTAATATTAGTTGCATGAGTAGAATTTAGTGATTCATCAGTTATATATAACACCCAGTGCTCATCACAAGTTGCCTCCTTAGTAGCTATCACCCATCATATTCTATTCCTAAATTATACTCATTTAATATGAAATTTGTATCTTGAAATATGAAACATGAAAGAAACAAATGTGAGTTTTACCCTCAAATATGTTTTTAAAATGAGTGATTATATTCAGTCATTCAGTGGTTTGAGAACATTTTCAAATTGAATAAAACAAATTTTAATTTGAATAAAGCAAAGTCAGTCAAACTAGATACAGAGTTCTGGCTCACATTAGCTTTTGGTTTATGCCTGTCTGTAATTGTGATTCATTGTGTGCAGTTGGATATCATCCAGTTTGGGATGCCCAAATGCACTGGTATTCTCGGGCGCTACTGTTTTCTTCCATGAAAGCAATTTTCTATATCCCTACTATAATTAAGCACAAAGCATTTCATGTGAATTAGAGGAAATTTTCATTTCATTCAAGGTCAGATGAAGTTAGAGACTACCATTCTAGAAAACAAAGAATTAAGTGGGACTTTCTAACTGTTGAGATAGTGAAATGGCCAGTATCTTTTCTAGAAAATACTGTGGCTAAACGTACTGATAGGACTGTTTCACAGTAGCCAGGAAAGTATGACCATGGCTAAATATTTCAACATAAGGATGAAGATTCAAAAAATATATAAACAATATACAGTTTTTCTTCTCGCCTATGGATTTAATAATGCTGTTTTTATTAAACTGTGTAAAAATAATGGTTTCATAAAAACAGATTTTGATAACTCTACCTTATAATCAGACCATGTGTCTTCATTCAGCCTGTGAATTGCCAAAAAAATTCAAGCCAGCTTCTTAAAAAGACCCTAAAACAAACAAACAAACAAACAAAAACAGGGAAGGTAAATAGCTTACATTTAAAAAATTAAACATATTTTTATCTTAGAGTGGACTTGAGTATTATATTCAGATTAACTGTGAAGGAAAAAAAATGGAGAATAATGGAATAAACAGGCCAGTTGACAGGGGTTTCTCTTACTACGTGTTTTATGTTCTCTGGATGGTCCTTATAATGTTGCTTAATAATTTTTATTTTAAAAAAGTTGAAATGTATTAACAACTAAATAAATATTTCCAGAAATATAATGCCTTGTATTTTTTTTTTCTGCCAGCCAGATGAAAAATCTAATGGACAGTTTTCTCTGGTATTAATATAGAAATATTTTCCTTAACATTAGAGTTATTTAGAAATTGCCATTATCATAAAATTTAAGGAATATTCAATAATCAAATCTTAGGCAGATAAAGAAGTTAAGTATTATTATCCAATTACATAAATTCTCAACTTGGTATCGAACTATTTAGTAGTTTGTTTAAGGACTTAGAAAGAGGAAAAGTAAATTGCAGAGGCAGAATTTATATTCCAAAAATTACCAACATCAACTTTTACCTTTCTTTCCTGTATTCAACAAAATTTAGGATTACTTTTGAAATGTTTTCAGTCTCCTTCATTTAGTAGCAATATCTTCTGTGAATTCTGAATGGTTTTCATACCTGAATCCTACTGTATCCCACTCCGTCTTCCTAGTTTTGTAGCTTAAGAGGTCTGTGCACATAATGATAAATCACTAAATTAAAAATGAAACGTTATTTGCTCTTTGGCAAAGAGCTGCTTATTCAGCAGTGGAGCACAGTACAATATATTTGGCACAGTAGGCCTCCTTCTCCATGGTTCCACTTTCCATGGTTTCAGCCACCCACATTCAACATGGTCTGAAGTCAGAGTATCATCATTCACCTCACTTCTTCATCCCATCCCACAGACAGTTCACCATTTCACATCATCACAGTAAGGATAAGTACAGTACATTAAGATACTTTGAGAGAGAGGGAGAGACCACATTGACAACTTTTATTACAGTACATTATTAAAATTAATCTTGGGGCTCCCGGGTGACTTAGTCGGTTAAGCGTCCAACTTTCGCTCAGGTCATGATCTCGCGGTTCGTGGGTTTGAGCCCCGCGTCGGGCCCTGTGCTGACTGCCAGCTCAGAGCCTGGAGCCTGTTTCAGAGTCTGTGACTCTCTCTCTCTCTGACCCTCCCCTGCTCACGCTGTCTCTGTCTCTCTCTCCTAGAAATAAATAAAACATTAAAAAAATAAAATTAAATTAAATTAATCTATTTTATCATTAGTTATTGTTAGTCTCTTATTGTGCCTAATTTATAGATTGCACTTTATCAAATGTATGTGTAGGAAAATCTTAGTATATTTAGGGCTTGGTAATGTCTGCAGTTTCAGGCATTCACAGGGAGTCTTCGATATCCCATGGACAAGGGAAGAGTTCTGTAATTTGCTTTTAACATGCGTTTCAGAATTGAAAGCAAAAGTGAATACCTTTCTCTTTCTGAGGAGTGGCCATATAAAAAGGATTAATGAGAGTAGAAATACTGAACTCAAGCCAGCTTCAAACTTACCTATTTTTAGATATCTTCTTTAATTCAAACTTGTGGTGATCAGAAAATAAACTATGTATGATTCAATACTTTAGAGTGTATTTACACTTGTTTTATGTGCAGTATATGCTGTATTTTGTTTTATACTTAATGTGCCCCTAAAATATGTATCCTCAACAATTATTTTCTCATTTTATTATAAAAAATGTATGTTGCAGTTGAAGAGTAGTGTTTCATAATATCAATTACTATTATCATTAAGTTAAGATGTTTGATTATATCCAAATCTTTTGTATTATTAATCATATATACACATACATATATGCATCTTCTGTATATATATTGAAATATGCACATACGAATGTGTGTGTATATATGTGAACCTATGGGCTCTATCAATTACTAATGATGAAATTTCTGACTGTAATTGTAGATTTATATTTTTATACTTTTAGATATGTTAAAATAAGTTTTCAGTACTTTTGGAGTTTTTTTTATTAAATACATACACATACCTATTGAGTATTATTTTGTCTTACTGAAAAATTAAACTTTTTTATTATGATGAAACATTCTCCTTTATGTCTTATATTATATCTTACCTTTAATTATACTATTCTAATATTCACTTAACCACTCCAGATTTATTATGATTAGCATTTGTGTAATACATCCTTTCTAGTCATTTCTCTTTTAAGCCACTTTTATATTTGTATTTCATCTGCTGGAAACATTACATATTTATATCTAATCAAGATGTAAGCTTTTAATTTAAAAGTTTAGTTTGATTACATTTAATGTACTTATCAATACAGCTAGGTTTTGGTGTGCTATCTTCCTGCTAACTTTTAAATGTTTCATCCTTCTTGCTTATTTTTTCTCCCTACGTTTAGATTCCCTGAATAGTTCTAGCATTTCCTTCTATGTCTTTTATTGTTTTTTTAGCTGTATCTGTTTTATTGTTATAATTGCCATTTTTGCTGTTTTATTTGCTAGTCTTTGCTCTTGGGATTACAGCACAAATCCTTAATTTATTACTGCCTCTTTTCTCATAATTTTTTAATGTTTATTTATTTTGAGAGAGAGAGAGAGTATGAACGGGGAAGGGCAGAGAGAGAGAAGAAGAGAGAGGATCCCAAGCAGGCTCCACTCTGTCAACACAGAGCCCAACACAGGGCTCAAACTCAGGAACCCTGAGATCATAACCTGAGCCAAGCTTAAGAGCAAGTTGCTTAACCGAGCCAGCCAGCCGCCCCATTACTGTCTGCCTTAAATAAACATACCTCCTTTGAAGGATTAAGTAATCAATCCCAATTATTCTGTGGTCTATATTTTTCCAATATTGACTTCAGATCTGTGTATAGCTACTAGCTCATATTAGGTGAATGTATTCAGTAACCTAAAACTCAGTTGAAAAAAAAATCTCTCCTGAAGAAATTAATTATGCTGTTATTATCAGATTTTTCTATATTCTAGGAAAAGCTAAGTGAGGCTATTGACTTTCCTCAACTCTGTGCTTTCTGCAGCACAATGAGAACAATGATCTATGTCCATAAAATCTTTATGAAAATGACATTTCTTCAGATTTTAATCTCTTGAACTCCGGTTGTTACTATAGCATTCAACTAGTAGTACATGACTGTATCCAGTAGATGGTTTAATTTTCTACTTTTATCAGACAGGGAAAGAAAAGAATAAAGTAAACAGATTTTGTTAGATATTGTTCAGTATTAAGAGATGCTGTTACATCTTCCTGATTTGTAGGTATGTTTCAGAGGAATCCTGTTTTGAGCTAAATCATCTATGGCTCCAAAGGAAGTCTATTTCCCCTTCAGTCTCCAAAGGAAGGATACCTGTCTTTAATTTCTTCAATCCACAAGTACTTCCTAAAGGAAAAGAAGAATTTTCTATTTTTACCTATTTTGTGTTCTCTGGTATATAATGTGACATAGAAATGTGATTCTTTCCTTGCTACACAAAGCATCTTATGTCAATAAAGCCAAACTAGCCACCACTGTCTATGCAGATGTTTTATAGTGCTTTCATTTGCCAAAGTAGTTCTTGCTCTTTTCTACTTAACACTTGATCTTAAAACAAATTCCATTTGGTAGAGACTTCTTGCAGTAGAGATATCTCTTTCTAATAGGAATTTCTTTCTCCTTAACAATCAGATTTAGGACTATCACTGCATTGAGAGTAAATGTTTGTCAAAGACAATCCACCAGTGTCAGAGTAAAAGGAACTAATTAAATGACAAGAATTAGCAAATGTGCCTCTCCTTATCCTCCAGTTACTTAAAGTTATCTAGCCTTCATCCATGGCTGTAACAGGGTCATATTATTTTATAGAAAAAGAGTACTGAAGTGATGGCTGACCCATGTCTCAAACAAAATCCTCTTTATTTTCAATTGCCAGTAGCATGAAATAGAAAAAAAAAATGGAGTGGATACATAAGCTATTTTAATGGCTCAGATAATGTAGAAGCCCACTTATTACAATTAATGTAGATGTATTCTCTCTTGCAAATGTATCACTAAATACAGAGCCACGCTGAGTTAATTTCTAGCTCTCCCTTTATGTTTTTAAATTAGAAAAAGACAGGTGATATTGGTGGAAGAAAAGAAAGAGGACAAAAGATAAAAACATTAACCCTTTTCAGAGCTCCCTGTTTTTTTTCCTTTTTCCCCAAAAATATATTAGTTTGAAAAAGTTGACAATCCATCATTTTTATACAAGTTTATCCTTTCTCTTGCAGAATCACAGAAATACAAAAATAGCTCAAAGTGGAAATTAAATCTCCCAACAATACAAAAATTTGAGTATTTGGAAAACACTTAATTCGGGTAGTAGCAAGAGTAGGAGGGAAAAAGAAAGAAAGAAAGAAAACCTGCCCAGAGAGTCTGAGCAAAGCCCTTCATGTGGAGAATATGACCGACCTATAATAGTGATAGAAATTGTCGATTGGGGGTAGAGGAAAATGGGTCACAGTTTCTATGTGAGACCAGAGTAGAAGTTGGATTAAAAGAGAATTAGCGAGTTCTCTTCAGAAATATGCCTATATATACCCTCAAAACAATCTCACTCAAACTCTATATGTACTTCAGGCCTTTATTTATAAAAACTACTAATTTTGAGAATAGACTATTTTTTACTCCTTACTAATTCTTTTTTATCTTGAAAAATCTTGTAACATACTGGAAATATATCCAGATATCAAGAATTTGCTGATAATTTGTGCCATTAATACTTATGTGGCAAAAACCCAGATTCCTTTCACTAATAGTACTGAAAACTAATGTAACCTAATGCCTAATGGAAGAAGAGGGTGACACCTTAATCACAAATGATCTTACTATAATGTAGACACACACACACATGTGCACACACATTCAGGAAAATGTGCAAAAGTGTCTTTGAGTTCAAGGTCTTAATTAGCTTCCAAACACTGCAGTTTCCACAAGAGAATGAGGTTTAAGGAAATTATGTCACCCTCTTTACCCTGCTCATTGCCTCACCCCCACTCCTCCTTTGCTATTTGGCCTTTAACCTCAAGGAGTTTTGCCTTTATAATGCTTCCATTCCTCTTTAATTCTCAATTTTCCTCCCCTTTGAGATAATCTCTTCTCAACAATTTAATATGAGGGGAGCCTGGGTGGCTCAGTCAGTTAAGCATCCGTCTTTGGCTCAGATCATGATCTCACAATTCGTGAATGTGGGCCCCATGTCAGCTGTGCTGACAGCTAAGAGCCTGGACCCTGTTCAGGTTCTGTGTCTCCCTCTCTCTCTGTTCTTTTCCACTCATGCTTTGCCTCATTCTCAAAAATAAACACACATTTTTAAAAATTTTTAAAAAATAATTAAATACGGTTTATCATTCATTTGATTCAATCTTCAATCGTTTCAATTCCATTTGTTTTGTTATGCCACAATTGAACTATTTATTTTTTTCTCTAGTTCTCACACTCAGAAAACCTCAAAGCTTTCCTCTGTTTTCTTTTTTTTTATCTTGATATTGATATACTGGACTCCAATGAAATTGGATGCGAAAACCACCATATCTGTGCATGAATCTGTACAACCATAATCTCTCTTTGTGATGAACCTAGTGGAATGGAGTGAGTATCAAAATTGCCATCAGTCAGTTCCTCATTGGGAAGAGGAAAAAAATATAATAAAGTTTCCACAGAGTGGCGCCATCTTACATATTGATGGGAAATACATTATCAGTGTAGAAATATCACTCAGAGGCAAGAAAATTTCAAGTCTTTCTAGGTAACTATTTGACTCAGGCAATTTTTTCATTTTAAAAATATTTAGCTTAATAAAAATGTTTCTTGTACGTATGAGGTAAAAATCAGTTTTTTTAAAAACTGGAGATATAAAGTTTAAAATACATAATTCCTCTTTTGAAGGAATGGAAAATCTCTGACTACTGTAGTTAAGATTAAGTTCAAATAGGAGAGAGAGAGGTAGAGAGAGAGAAAGCTGTGTCCAATTTTAACATTCTTTTATGCCTTTCATTTTATGTTTATTCCACACAAAGATTCATTACTTGATTTTAAATCTTTAACTTATTGGTGCAGTAAATAAATAATGGTATTTATTACAATATATCCAAATTATAAATTAAATAAAGGTAAATATCACATGAACCAGAACACTCAAATCAAATAAAGGGTAAATATTACATGAACAAGAACATTTAAATCAGGATTATAGGCACATCACAGCCCTATTGGTACTGTTTCACAGGAATTCAAACTAGAGTCAGAAAGATGCTAGTTGACTCTAAATTTAAAATGTGACAAGAACAGTGTGGTTCAAAAGCTGGACAGATGATTATAGAGACAATATTCATGATGTTTGAAAATCTGGGACTTGGAGCAGATTACAGTGAATTCAAGTCTTGACTCTGACACTGTGTCACTTTGAGAAGATCATTTAACTGCTCGGTGATTCGTTTTATTTCCCTGAACAATGGTGATTATAATAGAACCTACCTACAGGGTTATTACACAGGTTAAAGCTGCTTAGACTAATTCCTCTTTCTCAGTAAGTGCCAGGCCACTAATACTATCAAGTTATAATATCCTGACACTTTCTTTTCTACAAAGAAATGTTGTCACTCCAGACACCATCATTATTGAGTATATGGGCCAGGAAATTTCTTCCTTAATAGTGTTGGAGACGTAGTGCTAACTTGGGGCTTCACAGATTCATTTTACTAGCTTCACTTCCTTGCCACCTCATTCACTTCACAGTCTTCAAAGAAGCAAAAACACAATAATTAGGTTTCAGTTAAGTAAGTTGCCATCCCATTTCAGTTCTACTTTTCTGAGATTTTACCCAGGAGACTGTAATGATGTTTTAAGTATTTCAAAATTGTCAGTTTCAGATTTACATAAAACAATTGCATTTACTCTCAAAGTATGCAATTAATGCCCATTAAATTTGGATTTAAACCTGAATTGGGAAACCCTACTCTCATTGACTACAAGTTTTTCAATCCTTCTTTCATTTCCTAGAATGAACTATATTACCTTAACAATAAACCTATGAGTGATTTTAGTTTTAAAATTTTGATTTTGCTTTTACCACTGATGGTAAAGTATTATAATGATATATTTGAAGGGTTTATAAAATAAGTCCAAAATATTCACAGGTTGGTAACTGGCACATTACTTTTTTAATGGTCGGATCAATACAACAAATACTGTCCACTAATACTGGATGGATCCTGCATTGCAGAATTTGTGTTGATGGCATCATTATAGCTGTTAACTATCAATGATTGTATTTATTCAAAATATGTCCATGGGAGAAATTTTATTATTGATTTGATACAATTCAATTTTTTTTTAAAAGCATCAATATTTTGTATTTGGGATATAGTTCCTGCAAATGCATTTTCTACTCATAGTTACTATGAATGACTTATTCTTTGGGGCTTACTTGGTAATATATGTGAACAATAAAATAAGATGTTCTTGATTTTTTTCCCATGCTACAAAAAAACAGGTAAATATAAAATGAAGCAATCTAGACCTGTAATAAATCGTCAAATGATAAGTAGAAATAAAATACAATTGACTTTGGAATAATGCATGGGTTAGGTTAGGGGCACCAACCTGAAAATCTGCATATAACTTTCTGACTTCCCTAAAACTTAACTACTTCTGTTGACTAGAAGGCCTAATGATAGCATGAATAGTTAACACATATTTTGTATGTTATACGTATAACATACTGTATTCTTACTATAAAAGTAAGCCAGATGAAAAAATGTTAAGAGAATCATAAGCCTCTTTGAGGGTTAGTTGTACTTTACATGACAATTCCATGCCTCTTGTGCAAATCTCCAGTGGAGCCCCAAAGACACTGAGTTTCTACCACATCAGAAATATGTAATTAATCTAATTCTCATAAGACTCTTAGGGACACTGAGAGAGGCTACGGGGGTGATGGAAAGAATTGGCACAAATACAGATGCCTATTGACTCGTGTAATTATTCATTATAAACTAACTTCGTTTCAAATAAATTTCACAATCACAACCTCTTTGTTCATTTACTTAAGTAGTTCATTAGTATTTGTGTCCTTTGTAAATTTACCTTCTTGAGAATGTATATTACTTTGTCAGTGAAAAACGTCATAACCACATTCTTGAGAAGAACTTAAAGCAGTGTGTTTGTTGGATGATGATATTAGTATTTCTATTTAAATTGTTTTTACTTTATCTAAATAAAGCCATAACAAAAAATAACTTTACCATTTGTAATATAAAATGTGTAATATTAATATAAAATTTACACTTTAGAATTTAGTCTGTGTAAGAAAAAATAATATGGACAATAGTTCATAGTATTAACAGTTAGCTTTAATGATCTCATTTCTCAGTTTTAGTTACTAGTTATCCTTACTTTTTAAAAATAGTTTGGGAGTGCCTGCGTGTCTCAGTCAGTTAAGTGTCTGGCTCTTGATTTTGGCTCAGGTCATGATCTCATGGTTGGAGA